TTTACTCAACCAAAGACGAAGAATGAACTTGGATAGCCATATGGCGAGATAAGCAGCCAGTTCATTTTTCTTTTTTTTTTCAGAGGAAGGACTGAAGCCCAGAATTACAAGCATACATATCTGGGGAGTGACACCCCTATAATGTCATGACTTAGCAACGACCCTATTTGACCTTGAATTTGTTAATTCAACCCTTGACTTTTGATTTAATAAGATGGGTTGTAACAGAAATCCTTAGTCCCAGAGTTTTCATCACAGCCAGTTGAAGAGCTTCCATCTTCCTAGGGCATTGACCCCCCCAGTGTTAAACCGGAAGGTGATACATATTTTGATGTTTTTACCCTTTCTTGTGCTATTGATTTTCGATTCATTGCTTCTTGAATTCTGCAGAGGTTTTCATGGACCTGCCCGTTGTGGCAGAGTCTACTCGCTCAGATAAAGGGAAATCTCCACAGGTGGCAGAATCAACCGGTGATGTGCCTGAACTTCCCAAAGTTGCTGATGAGGTAGCATTTTACTTCTTTCTATTTTCACTTCGCTTCCTGCAGTGAAAATACTAAATGCTTGCATTTTTCCTTACAGGATGCTGATGTCATTGTGCGTTCCATCTGGGACTTGTTCACTTCTTGGGGTCAAGTAAAGACATCCTGCCCTTCTTCAACCAGTCACCCTTCTGCTTCATCTTCTGCTTTTTCGGAGGAAAATTTGAAGACTCTCAAGCAATCAATGTTTGAGTATGTTTCTTTCATGGACATGGACATGGATATTGGTAAGGCTAGTGCTGTCAGACAAAAGGATAAATTTGAGCTCTTGAGTACAAAATTGGCGCAAGCACTTATACTTCTGTTGCTCAATGTTTCCTCTGACTTTAAGACGACGTTGAAGGCTATCCATTCTAAAATCCTCTCCTTGCTAGCCAAAAATGTCAAACTGACGGCTAAGAGTACTCAGTATCTTCGTGCTGCCTCTGAAAGAGAATCTTTACTTCATNCAGACAAAAGGATAAATTTGAGCTCTTGAGTACAAAATTGGCGCAAGCACTTATACTTCTGTTGCTCAATGTTTCCTCTGACTTTAAGACGACGTTGAAGGCTATCCATTCTAAAATCCTCTCCTTGCTAGCCAAAAATGTCGAATTGAAGGCTAAGAGTACTCAGTATCTTCGTGCTGCATCTGAAAGAAAATCTTTGCTACAAGAGATTGATAAAGCCGAGGCTGAATTGATTGAAATCTCCTCCGAAGTAATGATTGAAGATTCTTTGATGATAAGCTTGGCTACAGAGATTAAGGAACTTCAAGCAAAGATGGATGACTGTAGGGCTAGAATGGCTACCAAAAGCGCAATGCTTCCTAAGGAATTGAACGAATCAAGTCTTTGGTTGAGCATTACACAAAGCTGCAGGTTGATGACGATGTTGTAACGGAATTAACTACCACTTCTTCTAGGCAGAGCAAGGATTGGGTAAGGCTTAGGGAACAAATGCGTTTGGCTTGGGGCGAATTGTAATCAAGACACTAGATGC